CACTGGTCAGGCCGCAGTTGGAGTACTGCGTCCAGTTCTGGGCGCCGCACTTTAAGAGGGATGTGGACAGCATCGAGAGGGTCCAGAGGAGGGCCACTCGTATGATCAAGGGACAGCAGGGTAGGTCCTATGAGGAAAGGTTGCGGGACCTGAACCTGTTCAGCCTCCACAAGAGAAGGCTAAGAGGGTATCTGGTGGCTGTCTGTTAACTTACCAGGGGGACCAGCAGGGAATGGGAGAGACCCTGTTCCCACAAGCACTACCTGGAGTAACTAGGAATAGCGGCCACAAGTTGATTGAGAGTAGGTTCAAGCTAAACATCAGAAGGCACTACTTCCCAGTCAGGGTGGCTACGAGCTGGAACCAACTTCCAAGGGAAGTGGTGCTTGCTCCTACCTTGGGGGTCTTCAAAAGGAGGAGAGATAATCACTTAGCTGGGGTCATATGATCCCAGCATTCATTCCTGCCCATGGCAGGGGGTCGGACTTAATGATCTGCTCAGGTCCCTTCCGACCCTAACACCTATGAAACTACTATGACTTGCAGGGAAAAGCTGAAAGAGGTAGGGTTATTTAGTCTGGAGATGAGAAGACTTGGGGGCAGATTTGATAATAATCTTCAAATACCTGAAGGGTGATTACAGAGAAGATACAGATGGACTTTTCTTTGTGGCCTTAGGAGACAGGACTAAAAGAAATGGACTCAAGCTGCAACAGAGGAAATTTAAGTTGGAGGTTAGGAGGACTTTTCTGAGTGTGAGGGTAATCAAGCATTGGAACAGGCTATGTAGAGAAATTGTAGAATTTCCACCCTTGAAAATTTTCAAGAACTGGTTAGACAGACTCTTTGCTGGAATGTCTTGTCAGGGGTGATTAGACATGCTCAAGAGACTAGATGAACCTCCAACCCTACTTTCCTATGATCCTAAGATTCCTAAATCTAAGTTCCATTTTTTTTTCTTTTTAAATGTTATACACTGCAGTTTAGCCTTTGACTAAATAACACTTTTTCTTGAAATACAAACAGTAAACTTTGACTAAAATTATTGTTTAGGCATCTCATTCTACTCGTAGATGACTGGCATTCTCAAAACTCTATTAAATATTGAAAGGAGTTATTCCAAATTGATGTGCGTATGAGAGAGAGGAGAACTAGGCCCTTTAGGGTGCCTGTAGATATGCAGGATGCTTGCTCCCATGCACTGTAGTTACAGTGTATCAGAGCAGACTTGATTAATTGAGCAGCAGCAGTCTTGGTGCTTTAATGAAAGCTCTTTAACTAAAGTGCCCCCGCCACCATTTTGAAGTGCGGGATGCTGAATACATGAGATGCTAAGGGCACTTTAATTATAGTGCCCCCCCCCCGAAGCACATGTAAAGATGCCCTTAGATTCAACAGTATTTTCAACACTCTCTCAAAATGTTTACTATATAGGCTTCAATCATTTTTCTGTTTTAAATTGTATTTTTAATATATCATATTAAAGATGTTTACTAATACTTGAAACCACCAGTAGATATTTTTTTTTAAAACTAATTTGTGGATTTTCTTAAAGATGTTCTTGCAGCAATCACCTCCTGGACTAAACTTTGGTTCTGTGCAACTTACTTCTGGAAACTCTTCTAACCTTCAGCAGCTTACGCCAATAAATATGCAAAGTCAGGTTGTTCAAACTAATCAGATTCAAGGAGGAATGAATACTGGGCATATTAGTACTCAGCATATGATACAGCAACAGCCTTTGCAAAATACTGTAACACAGGTAACGTTTGTCATAAATGCCTATACTGAGCAGGACTGAAACTCATAGGCCTGTCAGATCCTAGAGAGTATTATATAGAGAATTTCCATTAGTCAGTGAAACAGTGTGCGCAACAAACACAGGTTTCATGTCTTCAGTATTTATGGTAGAAATATTTATCCTTTTCCATATTTTGCATTTTTCATTTTTAGTAAAATTCTGAAGTGTAAATGGTCAATAGCAACTAGCTCTCTGCATCAGTCTTCAACTAGTCACTCTTTCTTTTCATGTGGCTTTTTCACTTAGCTTAGGAACTTGGTTTAAAATAGGAAAATATTGAAATGCCCCATGGTTTGGTAGGAGACAGTAGAGGCCGTGGGTAGTACTTGGAACTAGCTTAAACCTTTTTTTAAAAAAAGCTAGATTTAAATTTAATGGTGCCCTTTTGAATATATACTTTTAAAATTTGAAAACAAATTATAGTTAAAAAAAATACTTTGAATTTTACGATTTTAGTCACTGATCATTTCAGCTTTATTGCTAGGGAGCTTTGTGTGATTCTAGAGTCCTGAGATTTACATTCGTATCCCCACATTTCCACTTTCAAAGACCTTTTGGCACATGGAAAGGGTTGGAAACGGTAGCAGGAGGTGGCAAAGGAGACATACCAGTTACCATCTCAGTAAAAAAGAATTTCCACCAACCAAAGTTTGTGTTAAAGACTTGCAAGCTGGCCTCTGCTAAGTAAGAGACTGCAATTTTCCTATGTGTAAGAGAGGAACCATACTTTTGAAGAACCAAGGGACTGGGAGTCAGGAACTCTTGGGTTCTACCTGGCCAAGCTGCTTACTGTTATAGCCTTGGAAAAGTCATTTCACCCATGCTCAGTCATCTGTTTAAAAAAAAAAAAAAATTAATATAGGTTTACAAAGCTGAGAGGAGGGCTATAATAATTTTTACAGTACTGCATAGGAACTTTTATCATTAACAGTTATTATTAAATTATTGTTATTGCACATGTATTTATACCTTTAAAGTAAATTATTTCTCTGTAATTTTATATTTTTACAAGTCAGTTAATTAATTAATTTATAAAATTATTTTCCTTTATTAGCATAATCAACCAAATGTACTTAGCGGACACAATCAACAGACTTCTCTCTCCAATCAATCACAGAATACACTTTCGGCCCCCTTGTATAACACTATGGTGATTTCCCAGCCAACAACAGGAAACGTTGTCCAGATTCCATCAAGCTTACCACAAAACAATAACCAGAGTGCTGCAGCCGTAACCACTTTCACACAAGATAGACAGATCAGGTAACAACCAAGGAAAAGTTCATTCGAATGATTTTGCTAAAATGCTGCATCTTCAAAAAGAGAGAAAAGTTGCACCATGAAGTTCATAAAGTTTTTTTAGCTTTGACATGTATTTATATAAATGTAGTCAGAGAACCAAATTCAACTCAAATTATGTCCTTGTCTCCCTGTTTAAACCAATGACATTGTAGGAGGTTGTGAAGGGGTCTTTGGGATGAGCATCTAGCCTATTACATTTTGAATTTTTGGAAAGGACAGGTTCATCTTGAATGACACTTTTCAGTAGTAGAGTTGGTGCTTACATAACAAGATCAGCATCTAAAATTCACCCAGGTTAGCTTACAGTGAATTTCTGCCAGACTAAGCTAACTTCACCCTGTCATGTCTTCCTTTTAACAGGTTTTCTCAAGGTCAGCAGCTTGTAACAAAATTAGTCACTGCCCCTGTAGCATGTGGAGCAGTAATGGTACCAAGCACTATGTTTATGGGGCAGGTGGTGACAGCCTACCCTACTTTTGCTGCACAACAGCAACAGGCACAGACATTATCAATAACTCAACAGCACCAGCAGCAACAACAGCAAGAGCAGCAACAGCAGCTCAGTACAGTTCAACAACAAGCTCAGACTCAGCTGGCCCAGCATCCCCAACAGCTCTTACAGGTAATGTAACACTTCAGGAATTCTTGAGGAGGCACATACCTGAAAGTTCAATATCAACGTATGTTACAAGCCTATTGTCTGGAAATTGATTGTTCTGGTTGGTAGCCTTCTCTCCCAGAAGAAGTCTTGTGCACAGAATGAAGTTATTTCAAAGACCTTATTCAAAATCATTTGTAATCTTCATGTTCAAAAGAACTAGTTTGGAAGACACTGAGTTTTTTTTATTAATCTACATACCACTAAGAGGGAAACAGGAGAAAAAGTAAGTCAGTAAGGACAGGAAAATTGCTCTGATCATAGTAGTCATTGAGGTCTGACCAAGAATGGGCCATGTTATTGTAGATGTAGTTGGTCCCTGCTCTTAATAGGGTACACTCTAAATCAGAGGTCAGCAACATTTTTGAGTGGCAGGCTGCTGCTTGTGACTAAGCATGGACTGCCAATCCACCTTGCCGTTTTGAGTCACCACTCCATAGTACCCAGGCTGCCTGCTGCTGCCTCCACCACCCACATTCTGCCATTTCCCATCCCCAGTGACAGTAAGGGGGAGTGGTGAATTTGGTGGTGTAGGGTGTGAGAGAGAGCAGCATGGAGGGCACTGCAAGATGGGGAGACACTGGAGAAAGGGATCAGTGGCATGGCACAGGACATAAGAGGAATGCAGGTGGAACTGAACTTTCCCAGACTGGATCCAGGTGTTAGGTGCTGACCTCTGGTCTAAGGAGGTTGGGATGAGGGGTATAGCCTACCATTAGAGCAAACAGTGCAGTAGCAGCAAGTGTTATATTTCGTATTTTGAGTAGGCAGGTGGAGGATTACTTAGGTGGAGGTGAGCTAAATGGAAGCTGAGAGGTACAGGACAGGGGAAGGAAGTGAGTAAGAGGGACAGGTATGGAGTTGAAAAACTTCTGATGGAGAGAGTTGGGACAGCCAGCCAATCAGCACAAGGTAGAGAAAGTTTTGTCCAAGCAGTTGAGCTCTCCACAGATCCTGCCTCTGGCTGCTTCTGCAGGTGCTCCTACTAACTTGAAGTCTCTGGCTGGAAACTGTACTTCTTTCCTCCAACACCACATGGTGAGACAGTGCAATGAGATACTATCTGGGCCCTGGTGTCCCCTGTACAGGTCTTGGTTCACTGTGGTGCCCATTTGCCCCTTTGGTTGCTCGTGCAGGTGCTCCACATCAACCTGTTACATGGATCCTGCTTATACTATAGTGAAAATGCTTGCATGACATTGAGTAAAGAGGTGGGACACTTTGAAAACAGCCTGATTTTTCCTTCTGGTTCCTATGACAGCCTGTAGTGCAGCTGGAGAACTGAGGGCAGAGGGAGAAGATATAGAATGCATTAATACGAGGAGAGACCATGAGAACTGCAGAACTAGTGTGCTGCAAAGTATGGCAGATAGAAAGGGTTGAACAAGGTAGCAGGGAGTAGAAAAGCAGACATGTCAGTTACCATCTCAGTAAAGGAGAACCTCCTTCAAGTAAAGGTTGTGTTAAAGACGTGCAAACTGGTCTCTGCTGAACCAGAGAACCTGTTTGAACCTCAAACTTTATGTTCTCTAAAGGAAGATAAATCCCTGAATAGTTTTTGTTCATAATACTACAGAATCATAGAAGATTAGGATTTGAAGGGACCTCAACCCCCTACTCAAAGCAGGACCATCCCTAACTGTCCCATCCCAGCCAAGGCTTTGTCTAGCTAGGTCTTAAAAACCTCCAGTGATGAAGGCTCCACAGCCTCTGTCAGTAATCTGTTCCAGTGCTTTACTACTCTTCTAGTGAGGGTTTTTTTCTAATACCTAATCTAAAAACGTCCCTTGCTGCAATTTGAGACTATTGCTCTTTGTTCTGTCATCTCCCACCACTGAGAACAGCCATCCTCTTCATAACCCCCCTTCAGGTACTTAAAGGCTGCTATTAAATTCCCCCACTGTATTCTTTTCTCCAGACTAAATAAGCCCAGTTCCCTCAGCCTGTCCCCATAAGTCATGTGTCCTGACCCTCTAACCATTTTTGTTGCCCTCTACTGGAGTCTCCAATTTGTCCACATCTGTTCTGTAGTGGGGGAGCCAAACTGGACACAGTACTCCAGATATGGCTTCACCAGTACTGAATAGAGGGGAAGAATTGCTTCCCTCGATCTGTTGGCAATGCTCCTACCAATGCAGCCCAGTATGCTGTTAGCCTTCTTGGCAACAAGGACACACTGCTGGCTCATTCAGCTTATGATCCACTGTAACCCCCGCATCCTTTTCTGCAGAGCTGCTGCTTAGGCAGTTGGCCCCCAGCCTGTACTGGTGCATAGGATTGTTCCATCTTAAGTGCAGGACTTTGCACTTGTTCTTATTGAACTTCAAGAGACTTCTTTTGGTCCAATCCTCCAATTTATCAAGGTCTCTCTGAATCCTAGCCCTATCCTCCAGTGTATCTACTACTTCCCTTATCAGTGATACAGGAATGATAAAATAAGAAATCAAGTACACGAAGCACTGGATTAAAGTTGATAAATTCTTTTAGCATCACAGTTAAAATTATGTGTTCTTGTAAAGCCCTTCATTTACTATCAGCATTTATCCCTTCAAACTACAGTCCTCATCTTTTCAATGACAGAGGCAGGAACCCTCCTCAGGGCAAATATGTATGCATTCATGTAATTCAGGAGAAGATATTTATGGCTCGGTGTAAAGCCAGTCAGAAATTTTAATTGAATAATTTTGTTGTTAGAATTTTAATTTACTGAAACTTCATAGGAATGCACCAGTATCAATTCAATGTCCAGTAGGAAAGATTTCTCAGCTACTGGGTGGGATTTCTGGTCAGAGAGAGAGAAAACAGCTGGTGGCCTGGTAACTAGGTCCACACAAAAAGAGAGAGCATTCTTGGTCTGAATTGAGCAGAATAGGTATTTGAACTTGGACCTTTCACCTACCAGGTATATATCCCAGTCATTAAACCTAGGGTGTTAAACTTATCTTGTGCCCTGGGATGGATCCGGACCATGAGATTCCTCATGGGCTGAATTTGGCTTGAAGCAGCAGCAAACTGCCTAGGGAGAGGCACACAAATGGCAGTGGGCCAGGCAGCCGCAGTGCAACAGAGAACTGTATTGCACAGCCTTTCTCACCTCTTCCAGATGGCCACACTGCCAAATTCCCTAGCCTGGTGGGACAGATGGAGCAGCTCTGCAGGCTAGATTCAGCTTGTAGGCTGTATGCTCAACATCCTTGCACTACAGGGTTGGCTGGTGGGTGCTCCCCACTTCTACCTCAAAAAGAGCTGCACTGTTGAATGGGCTCCCTTGCAATTTTGCAGCCATAGCATTTTAATAAGTAGTTTACCTCTTGCTGCCCAGTTGCAGTCATGAATCCAAATTTTCAAATGTCCTCACCTATGAGTGGATGTGATGCTTCATCACTTTTGTTCAATAAATATAACACCATCTTATGTTGGGAATGCGGCAAATTATAACCAGGCTTATTTGCTACTTGAAATTATTGACTCCAAGATGAACATGGGCCGACAATGCGAGGTCATGGTTGGCAGGGCTAACCGGACCTTGTCGTGCATCCACAGGTGCATCTCGAGTAGAGCCAAGGAGGTGATCCTCCCCCTCTACGCGACGCTGGTCAGGCCACAGCTGGAGTATTGTGTCCAGTTCTGTGCGCC